GGGAAAGAAGTTTCTGTAAGTGGTCTACTTGTGGTTTTCTTGGTGGACAAATGGTGACTGTGCCAAAAGCTATAAGAACAGACTACTTGCTATTAGGCTGGTTATAAATTTTGTCCGAGCCTGGTTTTGATTAACCCGTTCGCTCAGGGTGTGTGTTTTTCCTGTGTGGGATTGTTACCAGCTGTCTCTACATAATGTATGTCTTGTCTTGGAAAAGAAATGAGTATAGTTGTTTTGGCTTGTTGTTATTGTTTAGACTTTAATGAAAACAATAAAGATACACCTGGGTATGCACTGCTCTCCTCATCTCTTCCCTACCCACCATCCCTGCCCCTGCCCTGCCCTCATTCTTTAAAGGCATCTCAAATGTATCAGGCAAATTGCTTTCAACATTTCTGGTTACCTTGACCAAAATTGTTTAATTCTTTTCTTTCTAGGTATCTAGCTGTGTTATTCAGTATTTAATTGCTTTCAGTTATTCTCGTTGCCATGACAATTTGGAATGATAGCATTGAACTTTTTTTTTTTTTTTTTTTGACTCATAGAGTATGTTGGCTACTTTCCAGGAGAGAAAACAAAACAAAACAAGACAAAACTTGCTTATGTAAAATTTGTCTGTAGATTTTAATCCTTAGGCACTGTTATTTTCGTATTCGTGTTTCCTATCTGATTGATGGTTTCCTTTTTCTTAAAATATATGTTCAAAGGGAGTTTGAAGACTGCTTCCCCATTACATTTTTAAAAACTGATTGTGTAACTATTTTAATGTTATATTATTTCTTTTTTCCCTTAGATTTCAACAAGAAAAACTTAAGCTTCGTTGGATACCCACATCCACGAAAAGTTCTAAGGTAAAGTGGCCTTCGCTCAAGGAATCTTAACTTTTGAAGATTTGTGGTACCTTTCACAATTATTCTGTTAAGGGTCAGCTTGTGGACTGGAGGTTAAGGCAGCTGGATCCCACATGGCAGACCATGCGGTTCAAGTTTCGGCCCCAGCAGCCTGAGAAACTTGGGTGCCCAATATCCTGACAGAATGGAGAAATGGAAGAGAAGGGATTGTGGTGTGACCATGCCCCATGGGTGGTGCCTTCTCACTTTCCCTTCTTGCACCTGCCTGTAAGCTTGGGATGTCCTTTTGTAATCTGTCCAAATGAGAGAGCTTTTTATTTTTTTTAGAAAGGGTTCAGCCTGTCCTCTTCCCTCTGTCTTACCCTCCATTCCTTTCTTCTACCCATCCTTCCTTCCTTCCTTCCCACCCCCCCTCCCTTTCTCCATCCACGCATCTTCCCACACATCCGTCTGTCCATGTGAGTTCTCAGTGGCTGGTTTTGACCCTCTCTCTCCTAACCTCTCTGCTCTTCCACTTCCCTTGGCCGTCAGATGTTCTGGGTCCTGATTCGATTTGCCTAATGTGCTAAAACTGCACAGGATATCGTCACTGAGATAAGACAACTGAAAAGCAGACGCCTATGGGAAATGAGGTACCCGTAGCTCAGTGCTTCCTAACAGATCACAGACCGAACCGGGCTTGGTATTTTCGAGTAGCGCCACAAATGTCATCCCCTAAGCGCTCGGCTGGAAGGACCCACCCCGACCTGCCCTTCATCCCACTCAGATGTACTTGTTCCCCACGTGTGAGACATTGTTCCTTTACCGAAGAGGGTTTTCTGATGGTCTCAGGAACATCGGAATAAGCGGTGTCTGTTCATCTCTGCACTTGAAAAGGTAGGGCTGGTCTTGTGAGCACCCCAGGGAGCACACACCCCAGACAGTCAGACGTGTCTAAGCATGAGGTGGATTAGAGCGGTGACTCGGGACATCCATGCATGACATCATGAATACAGGGCCTGACACACCTGCATTTCTCATCTCCGCCAGGCTTCTCGTGTAACCGGAAGTTTATTTCCTAGCATGTCCCTAGCAGGCTGGCTTTATTGTAATGGAGCTAAAAAGTGCCCAAGGGGGAAAAGAAAAAAGAAAAGGAAGGGGAGGGAAGCAGGAGGCACTGCTTATCCAAGGACACAGAAAAGCATGAATTTGAAAGTCAGACATCTCAGAGGACGGTGGTTCACAGGGACACCTGTCCTGAGCTTGTGGTGTCCTCTCATGTAGGTACCTGTTCAGATTTCCGCCCACTTGCCACGGTGTTAAGGGTGGCATGGGCCGAGCCCCCGGAGCCCGCCTGCTGAAATCCAGTGCAGAGGTACCAGCTACGAGAGAGAAGCAGGTGGGCTTGGGGGTTCAGCTCCCAAATCCTGTCACTGGAATATCACTATTGCAGGGATCTTCACACTGTGGGCGCTGCGTGGGGGTTGCCTTCGGGGTCCATGCCACCCTGTGAAAGACAGAAGATGGGACTGCAGAGTCCTGCTGGCCCTTTGGTAAATCCCTCTTTGTTGCTCCTGCTAGGCATTTAAGTAGGTTAGTGGGACACATTTAAAAAAAGATTTTCCTGGAAGCAGGGGCAATGTCTTTTAGATCATTGGAGACTGGAATGTTGGTGTCTTTTGCAAACTCGTCAAAAGCTATTGTCTGTCTTCTCACTGCCTCTAAGTGTAGGATGTCCTTTTGTAATATGTCCATCAAGTAAGGGAGTTTTTTTTTTTTATTTTTTATTTTTAGAAAGAGTTCAGTCTATCTCTCCTCCCCCTCTCTCTCCCTCCATTTCTTTCTTTTTATTTTAAGAATTATTTCTTTAATTTTATTCATTCATCATTATTTTTAATTTGACCAGAGAGTAAGAATGTATGAAAGCAAGCTGCCAGGTCCAGGACTCAAACCATTGTCAGCTTTGTGGAAGTCCAGTGCCTTAACTGGCATGCCACCAGCCAGCCCCCTTCCATTCCATTCTTTCATTCATCTTTGAGAGGCAACGAGGATGGAAGATAGGGATATGAAAAATGTTGTTATTAACAGTGAATGCTGGGAACCAGCAGTTAACATAATGGCTATGTCACTGGACTCCCAAGTAGTCAACCGCAGTTCGCGTCCCAGACCCACTGGCTTAAAACTCACGCCAGGCACGTGTGCGTGCATGCCCAAGATCCCGCGAGGAGAATGGAGGAGAAGGGATTGCGGCGTGACCATCCCCTCTGGGGGGTGATTTCTCGCTTTCTGTCTCTATGTCTCTCTCTGTCTGTCTGGCGAGCGCACGCGCCCTATAGCAAAAAAAAAAAAACCTCTCCAAAAAAAAAAAAAAAGAGTGAATGCTGAGGCCAGCCCCATAGCCTGATGATCAAGGGAACCCATCCCCCATCGCTGACTGCGGTTTGAATCCCATCCTCAGTGCTTGAAAAGCATGCTTGGCCATAGGCATGTAAGCCCATAATCCCAACAGGAGAGAGAACTGGAGAAGAGACTGCAGTGTGGCCACTCCCCATTGCGGGGTGCTGTTACGCTCTCTCTCTCTGCCTCTCTCTGCCTACCATTTGCACCCCCTGGCAATTAAAAATCAAAGCAAGTGGGGCCAGTCTATGGTGTGGTGGTTTAGGTGCTAGATTTCCACATGGCCAACCACAGAATGAGTCTTGAGCCTGATGGCTTGAAAATCTTACCAGGCACATGTGCATGCAAAATCTTGAGAAGAGGGAACCAGCAGTTGGCGTAATGGCTATGTTGCTGGACTCCCATGTAGCCAACCACGGTTCAAGTCCCGGACCCAGTGGCTTAAACTCATACCAGGTGCTGCACGTGCATGTGTTCCCAAGATCCTAAGAGGAGAACCAAGGAGAAGAGATTGCAGCATGGCCATTCCCCCAGGGGATGATTTCTTGCTTTCTGTCTCTGTCTCTCTCTGGCAAGTGCATGTACCCTATGGCAAAAACCTAAAGAAAACAAACAAAAGTGAGCACTGTTTCAGAAAAGACCAGGGTAGTTGGATAAAAACTACATAAGGGGAACCAGCAGATGGCTAAAGGGCTACGTCACTGGACTCCCACATAGCTGACCATGGTTCAAGTCCCAAACCCAGTGGCTTCAAGCTCACACCAGGTACACGTGCATGTATGCCCAAAATCCCAAGAAGAGAGTGGAGGAAAAGGGATTGCAGCATGCCCACCCCCCCGGGGGTTGATTTCTTGTTTTATATCTATCTCTCTCTGTCTCTCCAGTGAGCACACATGCCTGATAGCAAAAAATCTCTCTAAAAGATTAAAAAAAAAAAAAAAAAACTACAGAAAGTGTTTCTTACTATTAGAAAGTTTTAAATTTTAAATTAAAAAATATTAAATCTGTAACATTTGGTTTCATACTGAAATGCAGGCTCATACTTGTGGCTGAACTGTGCAACAGGCCAAGACCTACAAAGCTTGCTCCTGCAGAGACCCCTGGTCCTGGAGTGGTACTTGCTGAGGCAGGGGGGTACTTGCTGAGGCAGGGCTAGATCCAGTGTGTAGGCTTGGGGCCTTGCAGTCCCAGTCCCAAGCGTTAGGAGAGAGCTCTTCTTGGCACCTTGGAGGACTCCGAATAAAAGAGGGGGCAATGGAAGGGCTCTTGGGAAGTTTGTGTCTCCTAAGCCATTAAACAATCAGAAGTCACCCCCAATAAGTGGTCAGAATTTGTTTCTTTCTTTTTAAGAAAGTATTTATTTACTTGTCAGACAGACAGCATCCCTAATAGGGTTTCAACGCTGCAGTCTACCCCCTAGCCTCAGCCAGCCCCATCACAGGCACAGTTGTGCCCCGCGTGCTCAGGGAGGTCTCTGGATGAGAACCCTGAACCTCCTTGTGTGGGACTGCTTTGCAGAACATGGAGTTTTACCACTGTGTCACTGTCTGCCCTTGGAATTCTTGCCGGTACTTTCCTGTGTTTGGGTGCATCTTAGTGCTCCTGGGTACAGAAAGTCCAGGGGAGAGAGGTGTGACCTTTTTAAAAACCTGGTTTCTCCTATTGGTTTGAGGGGTCTCCCGGGAGTCACAGCTGGGGCCACCCTTGAGCCAGATCCACACTTTCCCACCCAGTTTGCTGTGCCTGATCTCCCTGCCACCCACCTCCACAGAGTCGTCAGTCACTTAGCCGGAGCAGGGGAGAGCAGCAGTAGAATGGGATGACATGTAAAGGGTGCCGTGTGGATTCCAGTAGCGTGTCCACTTCACAGCCGTACACTTTAAAAATAGACTAAGAATTGGATGTCCATCTGCAGAAAAATGAAATTGGACCCCTATTTCTCGCCATTACCTAGAATTAACTAGAAGTGGATCAAAGACTTAAATATTAAACCTCTAACCACAAAACTACTGGTAGAGAAAACTTTTCAAGACATTGAAAAAGGAAAAATTTCTTAAATAAGACCCCTAACCACAGACAAGTGTCCCTAAAATAGACATGTGGGATTATATCAATCTAAAAACCTTCCTCACAGCGAAGGAAACTGTAACTAGAGTGAAAGGATAACCCTTGGAACGGGAGAGAGTAATTTCAATTTTTTCTTCAGATAAGGGATTAATATATAGAATATATAAGGAACTCAAGCAGCTCACCCACTTTAAAAAAAAATAATCCAATTAAAAAATGGACAAATGAATTACAGACAGTTCTCCAGGACTTATTAATGACCAAAAGCCATACGAAAACATGTTCAAAGTATTTTGTCTTAAGAAAAATGCAAATTAAAACTACAATGAGATATTATTTAACCCCAGTTAGAATGGCTGAGATGAAAAAAATTAAGAATGACAAGGGTTGGCGAAGCTGTGGTGAAAAGGGAACTCTCTTACACTGTTGGTGAGAATGTAAATTAGTCTAATCTCTGTGGGAAACAATATGGAGATTTCTTAAAAACCTACAAATAGATCTTCCATATGACCAAGCAATCCCACTTCTTGGTTTTTACTCAAAAGACAAGAAAACACGCAAAATATGTGCACATTCATGTTTATTGCAGCATTTTTTAAACATTAATTGATTGATTGATTTGTCATGATTTTCAAGCTGCCCCATCTGAGACTCAAACCATGGTTGGCCACATGGGAATCCAGCACACTAATCACCGTGCCACCTGCTGGCTCCAATATTGCAGTATTATTTATAATTGTTAAAACATGGAACCAACCTAAGTGTCCAAAAACCGACAATTGGGTTGAAAAACCAGCATATATATACTTTGGAATAGTACACAGCTATAAGAAACAATGAGATTGTATTGTTTGACTCAAAATGGATAGATATAGAAGACTTAATGTTGAGCAAAGTGAACCAGACTTTGAAAGATACACATTGTATATCCCCACCTGATTTGTATTGAGTGTCTGCACTTGATGGCAGAGGTTGAGAGATTTGAAGATGTGGGGGTGAAGAGGATGGGTGTGGATACTACTAGTGACAATAAGGGGAGAAAGTATTTGGTAAAGAGTGGATGGTGGATGGTGGGTGCAAGAAAGATATATTTAGGGCAGTTACGAATTTTCAAGTGCAAGTAGTTTTTGAAGACTATAAATGATGAACTTAAATTTACAAGAGAAAAACAAATCAAAGCTTTTTTTTTTCTACTGCCTGGAAATAGTTTACAATAATATATATCTGTCATCAAAGAGCATGTTGTAAAAATATTCATTGTATGTAAATATGCTAATGTTTTCATGCATGTTTACAAAGTGAGCAAAGATAGAAGGAGTGATGTTTTCCCAATTATACACTATTTTAAAGATGAAAGACAGAATGAAAGGAAAAAAAAAGAGCCAGTGAAGGAGGGAAGAGAGGAAGGAGGGGTCTTATAACCAATGTTATCAAATATGTGCCCTTCTAACTGTTCTCAGTATTTGCAATGTCTTTTACCCCAGGTTATCACATCAACAGTTTAAATTATGGATGTAAAATGTTTCATGTGAATTGAAGTATACATTTGAAGTATTTTGTAGTAATCATTCACTAATCCAACTTAATACTTTTAAAGTATTTTAAAAATCAACAATATTAGGGACTAGCAGTTGGCATAATAGCTATATCTCTGGACTTGCATGTAGTCGACCATGGTTCAAGTCCCGGACCCAGTGGCTTAAAACTTATGCCAAGCGTGTGTGCGTGCGTGTCCAAGATCCTGAGACTCATGGGAGAATGGAGAAGAGATTGTGGCATGGCCATCCCCCCCTGGGGGGTGATTTCCCGCTTTCTGACTTTCTGTCTCTCTCTGTCTTTCTGGCAAGCACACGTGCCCTATAGAAAAAAAAAAAAGCAATATTAAAAAATGAAATTAAAATAAAAATATTTTAAAATCATAATTTGAAAAAAGATGTTTAAATATTGTGTAATACCTGTAACACGTGAAAAGAACAAATAGGCAAAGAACACGATACGTAAGAGGAAGAAACAGAGGTGTTTATATGAGTCTGGTACTGGTGTCTAGGGGTTCATCCCTTAGGCTAAACCCAGATGTAAGGAGGCTGGAGAGGGACCTCAGGTGGAAAGAACAGTGTTCAGAGTAAACCATGTTCAGAAGCTGGAGAGCTTTAACAGAACTTTGGCTTCCCCTGAGTCTCTGACAACTATGAAAACGCTGAGCTTTAGAGGGCCTGACACTCATTGTACCTTGTTTCGAGGAAGTCAGTGCACATGGAGCTGGGTGTCAGGTGATGATGTATGAATCCCACCCTGAAGACACTCAGTAACCTTTTGACCGTGCTTTAATTCAGGGCTAGTTTCTTAGTTTTCATTAGTGGCTTCATTAAGCTTTTCTCTTTTTTAAAGTTTTATTTATTTTTTCCATTAGCAAGAGGGACAGAGAGAGAGAGAGAGCCAGAGAAAGTCAGAAAGTAAGAGCCCCCAACAGGGTCTTGACACCAGGACCCACGACCAGGCTTCGCCAGACCCAGGTCATGGGCAGCTGTGTCCCAGGAACACTCAAGGAGATATCTGGACCCGAACTGGAAACCCTCCTGTGGGAGATTGCCTTGCTGAATGTTGCCTTTTACTACTGTACAAACCATCTGGCCCTGACCTTTTCGATAGACAGAAAGGGAGGGGAAAATAGAGACATACAGAGGGTTATTTTTGGAAATAGGAGGTGACCTTTGTACCCCAAGGTTAAAGACCTAAGAAGGTCAATATTTCAGAGGTTGCATTTTTTTTCTTTCCTCCATGAGCAATAGACAAAAGGACAGGCGCCTCCAACAGTCCCTATGCAGCGATCCACCCACAGCCCCAGCCCACCAGGATTAGGGCAAGCACGCACCCTGCAAGGAGATCTCGGGGCTCAACCCAGGACCTTCTCATGTGACCTGAGCATTGTGGAGTGTTAGGTTACTGCTCCAGCAACACAGCTGGCCAAGATAAAATTTACTATATAAATTAGGCACAGAAAGAGATTAAAGGCAGTAATAAAATAGAACAATTATAACAGTACACTCTACTAAAAACTATGTAGATGTGGTCTCTCACTCTCAAAATATCTTCTGTACATACTAGGCTCAGCTGTTTTCAGGCTGCAGTTGACTGCAGATACCTGAGCCTATGGAGAAAGGGGGGAGTGTCACTGTATTTATACCATCAGGAAATACTACAAGGCAGAACTTTCTTAGGGGCCAAGCAGACAGAGGCAGTTGTTAAACATTTTTACCAGTCACCACTAAGTAAGTCGTACTGTCGGGGATGTGGAGATAACCCAGACAAGACCTGGGATGCTTAGGATAGAGAAAGAGGACGAAGGAAGTGCTTGGTTAATTGCTCCTTTTCTCTCTCATTTTCCTTTATTCCACAACAAAATTTTATGGGCCTTTCCAACCTCTGGACCGTGCTTTGATGTCTTGGTTGCTTCAAGGCATCTGTTACTGTAACATCCTTTAATACTTGTGGGCAGCAGGGCCATCTAGACAAGTTGCTGGTTTTCTGAAGAAGAAATGGTGGCACAGAGAGGTTGAGTAATTAATCCACGCTTACACAGTTTACACTGTCTGGAAGAGATCGTCAGTTTGAACGTAGGCAGATGACTCCCAGCACTGTTTTCATCACCCTACGCAACACTAGAGAGAAAGATGGGGCAGGATGGCAGGAATTGGGGGGTGGGGGGAAGTCAGAAAGGAACTCCTAGCTCCAGGACTCGAACTGCAGTCAGCCATATGGGAGTCCACTGCCTCAACCACCACTCCACCTCCTGGCCCCCTAGTGTTTATGTTCTGCATTGGCTTTTTTTCCCTTAGCATCGTACATCTTAATTTAAACATAAATACTTTATTCATGAAATCATTTTTAGCTTTCAGAACGAGTTCTCACTTGACAATAAAGAACAACTTGCTCACCAGAAAAGAGGAATCGAAGCTAAGGTTTTAGCTGCACTTCCTAAAGGTAAGATTTTCCTTGATGGTGAACCAGCGTCTGGGCATACGCGTCCTGTGGTGGGGGTGTCTCTGAGGATGCCTCTCCCGTTACCCTCCAGCTCTGTCTCCTTTCCTCCCTTTCTTCATCCAAGAATTAGGTTCAATTAACGTACTCCAGCCCATCCAATCTTGGACACTCATGTGTATGCCCAGTGCGTACCAGGCTGAACAGGCTGGGGATGCAACACCCAACACCCCTGGCAGTGCTGAAGTCATTACCTAGGTGCAAAAAAAAAGAAAAGAAAAGAAAAGAAAAGAAAAGAAAAGAAAAGAAAAGAAAAGAAAAAAGAAATTCATAGTATTAACATAAATATAAATAATTGAAAAAAGAGCCTTGGCCATGGGATCTAGATTTCCTTGAGTAGTGCATTACCGCTGTCCCAAGGAGCCAGCCTCATCTTCTTGCAGGTGTAAACCTCACCTTTCTATTAGATCCTCAGGAGTCCTGATGCATTTTTGCATGGAAAACATAGAAAAATACATCATTACTTTCCTGATGACCCAATACTTGCCCTTTCCTTTCAATCTTCGGCACCCACAAGTTTTTTCTGGGGGCTGGGTAAGGAAGGAGAGAGCATAGAATCAACCCTGCCTCTTCTTTCTTCCTTTAACCTTCTCCTTCTGCCTATACCCCCAGTTCTTCTCTGTCCACCCACTCCCCCTTCCCCTACAGGCTGCTCCCCATGCCATGTGCTGCTCCCCAGTATTATGACTTCTACACTTAATATCTTGTAGCTCTGTACTGGGCTACAAGCAGCTGGCGTGACCTACACCATAATCTTTGTTCTTCTTCCTCAAGTAGGCACTTGCACATGTTTGACGCATAACTATTTCCAGTGCTAAAGGTGTGCATGCAATACATTTTTAAAATATTTTACCCTGCTATAAACCAGTCCCCTCCCTGTTTTGTCTGTGAAAAAGTTAAAAATTGCTTGGTCTTTTTTTCACCAACTGTAACTCTGGCACAAGGAATGATCATTTAGTACTGGCTCATAAACTGTCTCCATCCTAATCAAGCTTTGTAAACTTTTCCTTGAGAAGAAACAGGTTTGATGGAAGGGAAGATTTTCTCCCCTACTATGAAAGGGAAAACAAAAACAAAGAAAACAAAGATCAAACCCAAAATAAAGTAGACCAGAAGAAATACTCTTTTAATGGAAACTAAATCCAGGGACCAGCAGTTAGCATCACTGGGACTCCCATGTAGACGACCGCAGTTCGAGTCCCAGACCCGGTGGCTTAAAGCTCATGCTGGGCGCGTGTGCATGCGTGCCCAAGATCCCAAGAGGAGAATGGAGGAGAAGGGATTGCGGCGTGACCATCCCCTCTGGGGGGTGATTTCTCGCTTTCTGTCTCTCTGTCTCTCTCTGTTTGTCTGGCGAGCGCATGCGCCCTATGGCAAAAACCTCTCCCCCAAATAAAAGAAAAGAAAAGAAAAAAGAAACTAAATCCAGTTTGGAAGGCCCACTGACAAACTAGAATATCTCCCGAGGAGCTGAATGGGTAGCAGGGCCAGACATAGTCAGATGAGGCCTGTCATCGGGGACTTGACTGATGAAGAAATGTAAATGGGTACGTTACCATCCTCAAGTACTTGCAACACTATCAACTGAAATATAGGCGTGTTCCATGCTGCTCTGAAGGGCGAAAACAATGATGTGTGGGAGGAGATGAGATTTCATATGAAAAGGAAAATTCGCATAGTTCATGGTGCGTGGAAGTGAAATGGACTACCTCATGTCTCATGAGCTCTTGTTGCCACGTGTTCAACGAAGTTACATGATCACACTCAAGGTAAGATAGGGGCTGAAGAGCTGTACACATGGATGGGTGTGCACACCAGACAGGAAGTGAATGGGCCTTCCCATTTTTAGAACTTTTTTGAAAGACAAAGAAACTCAATGTAATCCGAGCCAAACTTAGTTTAAAAAAAATCTATGAAGTTGGGGCCAGCAGGTGGCATGGTGGTGAAAGCAGTGGGTTCCACATGGCCAACCAGAGTTTGAGTCCTGGATCAAGCAGCTTGAAAATCATGCTAGGCACATGTACAGCTTTCCCAAAACCCCGAGAGGGGAATGGAGAAGAGATTGCAGTGTGGCTATTTTTCGGCGGGGGGTAATTTCTTCTCTCTGTGTCTCTCTCCAGCGAGCATACACACACCTTATGGCAAAAACCTAAAAAAAAATAAAATAAAAACCTATGAAGTTGACCAAAGCAAACTATACAAATGAACAGATTAATTTTAGCAATAGCAGGTTAGGCAAAGTTTGAAATAGTCATGAATAGAAGTTTGTCTCTGTTCATTTAGAGGGTCCTGTCCCCACTTCTCTACTCCAGTCCTTTTCATGGTGACCAATATCATAGGTGATACTAGAATTAGGGAAATGAAAAACAGTATGAGATGCTAGGTTCTTTAAGGTTCAATAAAGAGTAATTTTATATATAATAAAATTGGAACATGCAAATTTATTAACCGATGTTACTAGAAAATTATTATAACTGATTATAAAAATGTAATTTTCACAAATCAAAGATGATCCTTTTTTAGAATTACTTATTTAATTTGTTGTTATTATTTATTTTTTAATTTGACCAGAGAGAGAAAGTGAGAAAGCAAACCATTAGGTCTAGGACTTGAACCAAAGTCAGCCATGTGGGAGTCCAGCGCCTTAACTACCATGGCACCTGCTAGCCCTTCAAAGATGGTAATTTTAAATATTAACAAATTTATGTTCCTCAAATACAAGGTCTTTTTTTTTTGAGAGGTTTTTTTTTTTTTTTTTTTTTGCTATAAGGTATGAGTACTCACCAGAGAGACAGAGAGAGACAGAGAGACAGAAAGCAAAAAAAAAAAAAAAAATCACACTCTCAGAAGGATGAAGGATGGCCACACCACAATCCCCTCTGTTCTATTCTTTTTTTTTTTTTTTTTTTTTTTTTTGGGGGGTTTTTCTTCTGGGCACCCGGCACTCGTTTGAGAGGTTTTTGCTATAGGGCACATGCACTCGCCAGACAGACAGAGAGAGACAGAGAGACAAAGTGAAAAATCACCCCCCAGGGGGGATGCCACGCCACAATTCCTTCTCCTCCATTCTTCTCTCGGGATCTTGGACAAGCATGCACACACACCTGGCGTGAGTTTAAGCCACCGGGTCCGGGATTCAAACCACGGTCGGCTACATGGGAGTCCAGCGACATAGCCATTACGCTAACTGCTGGTCTCCCCTCTGTTACATTCTTCTCTCTGGATATTGGGAATATGCACCTGGCATGCATTTCAAGATGCCGGGTCCAGGACTTGAACTGTGGCCAGCCGTGTGGGAATCTAGTGCCTTAACCACTATGCCACCTGCTGGCCCCGAGGTCACTTAAATCTTTAAATACCAATGCCCCTCCTTCCCTGAATTTTATCTAAATTCCTGGAACCTCATTTCACATAGTCTTTTCTCTTTATGAATTTAGACAGACACTTTTGGAAAAGACCCAGACGTTACCAGCAATCCCTGTTTCTCCGTCTTAATATGTTCATGGTTTTGTCTATTAGTTCTTGGCAAATAGACTACTCAAAAATGAATCGATTATTATTTTACTTTAATGACATAGAGGTTTATGTTCATAAGTCTACAGAAGTTTCTTTCTGTTCATTTAGAGAGAGATTCTTCTGTGAAACTGAACATATTAATGGTCCTCGCTTTTTGTCTAAGTGACTTCTGATACACAACTGGTGTATCACCAAAAAAGTAACCAAAGAGTTCAGAATCATTAGAGAATGGATATAAATTAAGATATATTTTCCATTTAGTAATTATGAAATAGACAAATATATTACTCTACTTTCTTTTCTTTAATTGCCAGTGGCCATGTGCACTCGCCAGAGATAGAGACAGAGAGAGGGAGAGGTGGAGGGAGAAAGCACCTCTGATGGGGCATTTGGTCACACTCGCTGCAGTCCCTTCTGCTGCATATCTCCATCCTGTCAGGATGTGGGCCATATACACACATGTGCCTGGCATGTTTCCAAGCCAGAGTGGTGGGGATTTGAACCATGGCCAGCTATTCCAGTTTCCTTAATCCCTAGGCAATGGGCCCTGCCCCTCGTCTGCCTTTTCTAACAGCTTTATTACAGGTACCATACAATCCGTTCATCTAAAATATATAATGCAGTGGCCGTCAGTATGTTCACGGAGTTGTGCACCCATCTCCACACAATTCTAGAGCGTTTCCATTACTCCAAGAAAAAAACCACAGTCCGGAGCTGCCACTCCTCCCTGTACCTCTAGTTTTGTAATTACTCTGTAAGCTTCTTGTCTTTCTATCAGTGGCTGCCATCCGTAGGGCCAGCAGATGACGTGGTGGTTAAGGTGCTGGAACTCACTTGAGGTTCAAGTCCCAGACCGAGTGGCTTGAAAACTATGCCAGGCACATGTGCTTGCATGCCTAAAATCCTGAGAGGAGGATGGAGGAGAAGGGACTGTGACATGGCCATCTCCCTCTGGGGGTTAATTTCACATTTCCCCCCCTCTCTGTCTCTCTCCAGTGAGTGTGCACCTCTATGGCAAAAATCTTTTTTTTTTTTTTATTTGAGAAACTTTTACTATAGAGTGTGTGCACTCTCCAGAGAGACAGAAAGCGAGAAATCACCCCTCTGGGTTTTTAAGCCACGGGGTCGGGGACTCAAACCACAGTCAACTATGTGGGAGTCCAGCGACGTAACCATTATGCCATCTGCTGGTCCTTGGTAAAATTCTTAAAAAAAAAATAAAATAAAAAGTTACACTGCATTACATTTCTCCGGCAGAGGGGAGGCCCTTATTCAGAATATTCTGGATCTGGCCTGCACTCTTAGGCTATCAGAGGAAGGAGGCAAGAAAAGTGTTCTTTGGCAGCACCCCACTGCTTCCATGTCTCAGGGATATCCCACTGCACTCAAGTTTAGAGACTGAAGTCAAGCAGAAGTCCTGCTTCTCA